AAGGCGGAGGGAGGGAGGCAGGACAGGGAGCACAGCGTCTCCTGCATCTCAACAGTGTCGCAGCCCGGCCAAGCCTGCTCCTCGAAGGGCACTTGCACGCGTGCAATCACGGAGACCTGTAGCACCACAGGACCACTCGCGCTGCCACAACAAAAAGCGCAAGACGGGGCCGGCTCGAGGAGGAAGGAGCAGGAAGAGAAGGGAGGGAAATGGAGCGAGCAACGAGGACGCCAAACCGGCCACCCCGGGCGCGGCAGCATGTGTGCCGCCAGGTCACTCGGCAGTGGTGCGCGCCAAAAGCGGATGCCAATCATCCTGTGGGACTGCGCCGTGCTCATCAGGTCCACGCACAGCGGGCACAGCGGACCCATATTTCCGCACATCATAAGTGAGGGTTTTGTTCCTTCTGAACATCCCCGCGCAGGAAAGACCACCCCTCCCCTACCCTATCCTCATCTTCTCCCTTCAGCAACCCGAAGCCTTACCGGGCCTTCGTTCACATTCTTCCCGTCCCAGTCTCGATCGCATCGAAGGATGAGGAAAAGACGAGGTGCAGTGCTCAGTCCGACAGCACCTCGCCGGCATGCTCCTCGGCCTCCAGCACCGCGCACGGATCGGAGGGGAAGAGAACGGGGACCACGGACAGGACAGGGAAGGAAGAAGCAGACGGCGCATCGGCACACGTGCGCATGAAAACGAAGGCCAGAAAATGTGCAGAACATTATGCTGAACGCACGTCGCAGAGTCACAGCCACTGCACAAGGCTAAACGCAAAAGCGAATGTAGACCTTGCTCAGCGTCGAGCGTGGTCAGCGTGAGCTTATGGATCATCCTCGCGAATCGGTGACGGCCGACGCGGACCATGACAAACCTCGGCATCCACAAATCCCGCGATATCTGGGCCATGGTCCGCACGTGCTTCTTCCCTCGACCTCCTCGGCAGGGTGAGGCCTTGGTCCGTCCTGGCCGTAGTCCTCCTCGGCCCCCGGCTCCGCGCACGCACGCCACTCCACAGGGCAGGGCCCAGCCCTCGGCTGGCAGCTGGCCGCCCGCCCGCCGCGCACGCAACCGGGAGGGCGTGCCGGCGCGCCGGGGGGCCAGCGCTGCCACGCCGGGCGAGCTCGTCTTCCCTTTCCCAGGCCTCCGAGGCGCTGCGCGCATGCCTTGACCATGGTGCATTGCGAACTCGCGAAACAACGCTCCAAAAGAGAATCTTGTACATCTCAGTCTTCACGAAATTCTCCTTGCGCGCCGCTGCCGAGAGGTCGATGTGTTGGGAGCTCCTCCGCAGGGTCTGGCGAAACATGCTGCCGCTGGCTCCGTAGGATCACCTCCAAAATTGGACGCCCATTTGGCCATTTCTGCCCAAGCCTGAGCCGTCACGACTTGAGCCAAAATGGCTACGGAACTGGTGCTCTCGCGGGGTCGTCTTGGGGGCCTCTTGGGCCGTTGTGGGGCCCTCTAGGGCCGTCTGGAGGGCCCTCTTGGACCGTTTTCGGGCCATTTTGGGACCTCTGTGGCCGTCCGCGGACGATCTTTGGGACCTCTTGGGCCGTCTGAAGCCCTTGTGGGCCCGAAAAGGCGAGAACCCTGAAAAACCTTCCAACGAGCTCAAAGCAAAAACTATGTGTTTGGGCTCATAAGGCCCTCTCGGGGGCCCCCTTGAGGGCCGATTTGGGACTCTTGGGCCGTCTTGGGGCCAGCCCAGTCCCCACACTCGAGCAGCCCAGTCCCCACACGGTCCCTTCGGGCCTCCTTGGTAGCAGCTTGGGAGCCTCGTGGGGCCGTATTGGGGCACTCTTGAGGCCATCTTGGGGCCCTCTGGGGCTGTTTTGGGTCCCTCTTGGGCCGTTAGGAGTCCCTCTTGAACTGTTTTCGGTCCCTTTTGGGGGCCTCTGGGCCGTCTCGGGACGACCTTTCGGGCCTCGTGGGCCGTGTTGGGCCCGCCTGGACCCGACAAAGCAAGAACCCGAAAAACCGGTTAAAACACCTCAGGGGAAGCAGTGTTTTGGCCGCCTGAAGCCCCCTCGAAGGCCCTCTGGAGGGCCTCTGGAACTGTCTCGAGGCTCTGTCGGACCGTCGGGAAGCCATCTGAGGCTCTGTTTGGGCCGTCTTCGGGCCGTTGCTGGAACCATTCAAACAAATAAAAGGAAATGCGCAATGGAAGGCGCCCGCGAGCCGCTTCACTCGAACAAACAAAAAGAAAGCGGCCCCCGGGCGGCCATTACATCGGGGGCTTCCGGGCCTCGCCCCTCCCCTGGACCCCTCCCTATTGGCTTCGCCCCCCCCCCCCCCCACCCCACACAGGAACGTCATCACTCGTACCTCGCTCTTTCCGTTACCTGAGCCAGCACGGGAACGGAAACAGCGCTTCAGGAACTTGCCCGAGATAGGTATTGGGACCCTTTACTCCTGGGAGCCTTGGTGTTAAGAGCTTGTTACTTCACCGTTCTCTGTTGGGAGCCCTGGTGCTCAGCTACTCCGAGCTTTTTACGTCACCGCGCTCTGGGGAGCCGTGGTGTTGAGAACTTGTTACGCCACCGCTCGCTATTCGCAGCCATGTTGCAACTTGGCGTCTTTGGCACTTCTTGGGGGTCTTTTGAAAGCCCTTTGGGTGCTCTTTTGGGCAGTCTTGGGGCCCTTTTGGGCAGTCTTGGGGCCCTGTTGGGCCGTCGTGGGGCGTCTTGGAGGCCTTTGGCCGTCTTGGGGACCTCTTGGTATGTTTCGGGGCCCGACGAGGACACAATTCACCGTCTCTGGCGGTGCCCGTGCTGGCAGGAGGCGCGGGCGGCTGCGGTGCGAGGCCTTGGCTTTCGCCTGGGGGGCCTCCGAGCGGCTCTGCCGCCGGGCACGGCCTGCCGTGGCGTCCTCAGGGAGGAGCCAGCTCTCCGCGGGCTGGCCGAGAGGGCCCCCGCCGCTGCCCGCTGGGCTGCAGGCCCCGCAGCCCGGCCCGCCTCGTCGCCGAGTGGGGCCGAGGCGGAGCCCTCGAGCGGCCGAGCGACCCGCTGCTGGCCAGGCAGGGCAGGGTGGGCGGCATAGAGCTCGACGGCCCTGCCAGCGCGCAGGGCAGTAGCGGGCCTGCCGACGGGCCACAGACGCCTCAGAGGGCGGAGCTGACAGCCGCCCTGCACGCGTTGAGCCTCGCCGCATGCCACTTGGAGGTGCTAGCCGACGCTCTGGGCGGGGGCGTTCCCGGCAGAATGGGCGCATGCGGAGATCTGGGAGTTGTGGCGCATGCGGAGATCTGGGAGTTGCTGGCCCCGTGCTGCAAGACTGGGCACCTCCAAGCGAGGTGGATCAAAGGGCATCTCGACGCGGTCAGCGCCAGGGCCCGAGGCATGGCTGAGAAGGACCGCTTCGGCAACGCCGCCGCTGACCGGGCAGCGGGCACAGCCGCGCGCGCGCACTCCCACCACCCGCCCTGCTCGCGCTCTCTGGACGGGACAACCGACTGCGCGCCCTGGGCGACGCACAGCGGCTGCTGGCAGAGGTGGAGCTGGCAGCGCTGACGGTCAACCACAGCAGCGCCGGCAAGGCCCCTCGGGCGCGCAGACCACAGCGCAGGTGCCGCGGCTGGCGGGGCGCGCTCGGCGCGCGGCCAGGCGTGCCGCCGCAGGGGCTTGCGTCCGGAGCTGCCGCAGCACCGGCGCCGACATGCAGCGCGGGCGGCAACAGGGCACGCTACGCCGCTCTGTTCGTGGGGCAGGCTTGTGCACGCCGCCGCTGCGGGGCGTCCGCACCCGCGTGGCCACGGCTGGCGGCGACGCCGTGCGGGAGCTGGGCCGCCGCAAGGCCGACTGGCGCGCGGCGCTGCACGCGCGCCAGGTGCGGCGCCCAGGGCCGCTGGACCGACGGAATTCGGGCGGCCTGTGTGCAAGCCGCATGTCGACCTGCCCCCCCCGTCCCCTCCCGGCCTCCCCCCCCTCCTCGACCGCTGCTCTCTGCCTCTGGGCTTCTCCGATGGGTGAAAAATGAAGGGCCCCAGGCCGGCCCATCCGTGAGGGGTGCGCCGGCACGGGGGCGGCGCCGCCATGCGGGCGGAAGCGGTACGCCCTGACGAACACGAGACGCGCGGGAGGGGTGTGCCGACATGAACGCGTAGCCGCAGGTGGAGCCCCCTGATGGGGCACGCAGCGTGGGATGGGTCCGCCGAAATGGGCACGGCGCCGCTGCGGGAGGTGTCCACAGACGCCGCGAATGGAGGTCTGCCGAAAGGGCCCCGATCCGCGTGAGAGGTCTGCCGAGTGGGGCGCGGCGCGAGCGCGGATCTGCGGAATGAAACCGAGGGCCCAACAGTACAACAGGGTCGGGAAAGGAAATCACTCAAACAGATGGGCACAAAAGGTGGAGATGGATAATTCATAAAGGGGATGGAGCGAAAAAGAGAGCGCCACAGAGACACTCTGTATATGTGGTGTGGGGTGACAAAGAAAGAAGAGAGAGAGAGAGAGAGAGAGAGAGAGAGACGTATCTGTAGACATGAATATACAGAGAGAGAGGGAATAAACAAAAGTGAGAGAACGGGCAAGGGCAATAAGGAGAAATATATATATATAGAGAGAGAGAGAGAGAGAAAACCACAACAACACATAGCAATGTATACATATATACACATACATACATACATACATACATACATACATACATACATACATACATACATACACACATACACATACACATACACATACACATACACATACACATACACATACACATACACATACACATACACATACACATACACATACACATACACATACACATACACATACATACATACATACATACATACATACATACATAATACAATCATATAGATATATAGACATAGTGTGAGAGAGAGACAGACAACATACAACCATATAGAAATATATATATAGTGAGAGAGAGAGAGAGAGAGAGAGAGAGAGACAGACAAATAGAGAGGCGCACAACGAAGAGTGATGCACAACGGCATACAGAGAACACCTTTTGCGCACGGCGGCTCTGGCACACCTTCAGAACCAGCTGCGGTGGACTCGCAAGGCCGTGGCGTCAGGCAGAGGTGCCAGCCCGCACTCCGGCGGCTCTGGCGCACCTTCAGGACTGGCTGCGGTGGACTGTCGCGGCCGTGGCGTCAGGAGGAGGTACCAACCACAACCCCGCGACGCCGTGCCAAAAATTGAGCGAAGCCACCAGCAAGACCAAAACACAGCTCACCTCGGTCGCCCCGTTCTGGAACCGCCCCCCCTCGAAGCAGGGGTCCGAGACCCCGCCAGACCCCGACGCCGATTGCTTCCCTCGCAACGTGGCGCCGTGGACGCCGGGAATGATCTGATACCCAGAGGTCTCGACTCATTCCCCTGCGACTTGCAATCGCCTGGACTTCCATCCCCATGCATTGTTCGGCTCCGTGCGCTCGTTCTCCGCAAGATGACCCACGATGCTCCTTGATGGCCCTCGCCGAGACAAAAATGCACACGTACGAGTGATGCCAAAGACAGGGCCCCAGGAACCGAAAACGGTAACAACTACGAAACGTGAGCGCTTTCTGATTCGGCGTTTCGACATTGGGCGGAAGGGGGGGGGCTGGCTCTAGACCTCTGCTTAACGCCATTGTTTGAAACGGTGAGACCTATGGGGTAGACCCCACCTCCAAACTAGCCGAGACCTACTCCATGGTGGGGGAAAGGGAGGGCGTGGGCCTGCGCCAATCGACAGAACAATGCATGAGAAACCGATCGCGTAGGGGTAGGGGGGGAAGACTGCTTGGAAGGAGGCTGCTTATGAGAAGGCGCGGGCCCCGTCTACAGATGTCTGGCCGGCATCTCCTAAGGAACGAACGGCCTCCTCCTACAAGCCTTCCGCTCGCTCCCTTACCCCAGACATATACAGAAATAGTCAAAGAGCACGACAGATCGTCACCATGTTCAAACTATTCTCGAATGCTCCTCCTGTAGGGGGGGTGCGAGGGCCCGCGCCGATCGGCCAAAAAATGCATAAGAAAACGGCCATGACCCCGTTGTTTGCCTTTTCAGGACGCGAGCGGGCCTGGGCCCCCCCCCCCGGGGTGTAGGCTTCCCGGCGTCCTGCTCGTCCTCGAGGCGGCCTCCAGGCTCGGCCCGACGAACTGCCCCCCTGACTACAGTCAACCCGTACCATCAGGACGCGCCGTAAGGATGCAGGGGCTTGGACGCCCATTTCGAGGCGTCGAGCGGGGCGCGGCCAACAGGAGTGGCCAAGGATGGACCGAGGAGGGAAGGCTGCAAGGATACCCTTGGGAAGGTTGCCCATCCCTACTAGGCGGGTGGACTATGGCTGCAGGACGCCCAGGGAGGGACCGGGCCCAGGGATCTCCCCACGACCTCGAGAAGCCGTAAGATGCCCTCAGAGGCACACGATGCCCCAGGAGGGACCGAGGAGTCGCCCAGGAAGATCTCCAGCGAAGCTCGAAAACCCCAAAAACAATGCAACAAAAACTATGGCAACTCAACGTGTTCACTCGCGACGTTTTCCAACTTCCTACCGTAGACGCGCGAAGAGCGGTTGTCTGAGCGCCCAAGGTTCGCGCGGCGCTGGCGCGCGCACAGGTTGTTTGACACCGCGTCGATCGTTCAACCTTGAATCGATCGCGGCCCCGATCGTTCGAGGTTGAATTCCGTCTGGTCCAGTGGCGTCACCGTGTCACCCTGAACGCCCTCGCCGGTGTAGCAAGCGCGACATCGCCGCCTGAAACTACCGTATGGCTCGCATCGCCTCGGGAAGACATCAGAGAGCCCCGGAAAGCCTCCAAGACGCAGAAAAACTGTCCCGCGGGGGCTCCGAGACGGACGCGGCCCTCCCCCGGGGATCTCGACCTCGTACTGGGGACCAATACTGTAATTTTGTTCGAGGGTGCTGGGCACGGGAAGCGGCCCCCCGAGACTCGAAACATAGAACAACTGGCCTTAGGGACTTTCCGGGCGACGCCCAGACCTCAGGGGAGGTAACCTGCCTTGGCGGACTAGCAAGTAGAAGAAACCCAAACCCTCTGGGACGGAGGGGACCTGAGTTAGGAGGCCCAAAAACATTACTCACTGCGTGGAGCTCCCCTTATGTGCATCTCATGGTTTATGTCATGCCGTGGCGAGCGTCTGTTCATGAGCGGTCGGCTACAATAGCGCGTCCACGTGAGCGACAGGGCCGACGAAGACGAGTGACCCCTAATGCGAGTGATTGCGTATGAGTCAGAGTGAGCTTTGAGTATGGTTGAATGCGAGCCTCTTCCTCTTCATCCCCCTCCTCAGCTGCCAGGCCTTCCCCATTTCAGCCCGTGGTAGCTTGGGAGCTTCCCACATGTGCATATGTTGTAGGATAGTTGGGAGTGGGATATGTAAGACGAGCGTTTAGCCACACAAAGCCATAAGTGCATGGATGTCATGTTGGAGGATAGTGCCACGGTGAGCATTTCCAACGATCCCCGCACACAACCACCGCCCCCCCCTCGCAGTCACCCCCTATGAATACATATATATATATATATACATATACATATATATATATATATGTATGTGTATATATATATATATATATGTGTGTGTCCTGGACTTCGGAACAACTGTCCTGCTCGCGTCAAGGACCTTCGAGCAAAGTGCCCTCCTCCTCCTCCTCCTGTTCCTCCACCCCCTCCCTTCTCCTGTTCCTGCTCCTCCTCCTCATCCTCCTGCTCCCCCTCCCCCTCCGCACCCCCATGCCCTTCCTCACGATCCCCCGCCTCCTCCTCCTCCTCCTCCTGTTCCTCCTCCTCATCCTCGTTCCTGTCATTTCCCTCCCTGTTGAGCCCAGACACAAGCGAACCGCCTGAGACATCCCCACAATACGGCCGCGAACGTGCCCGTGCAACCACCCCTGGCGGCTCCCCTTAGGGGTGCTGCAACCAGCGCCCCGCTTGAGACATCGTCACAATCTGCTCTCCAAGCGAAGGATGTTGAGCCCAGAAACAAGCAAACCGCCTGAGACATCCCCACAAAATGGCCGCGAACGAGCCCGTGCAACCACCCCTGGCGGCTCCCCTTAGGGGTGCTGAAACCAGCGCCCCGCCTGAGACATCCTCACAATCTGCTCTCCAAGCGAAGGATGTTGAGCCCAGAAACAAGCAAACCGCCTGAGACATCCCCACAAAATGGCCGCGAACGAGCCCGTGCAACCACCCCTGGCGGCTCCCCTTAGGGGTGCTGAAACCAGCGCCCCGCCTGAGACATCCTCACAATCTGCTCTCCGAGCGAAGGATGTTGGGCCCAGAAACAAGCAAACCGCCTGAGACATCCCCACAAAATGGAATGGCCGCGAACGAGCCCGTGCAAACACCCCTGGCGGCTCCCCTTAGGGGTGCTGGAACCAGCGCCCCGCCTGAGACATCCTCACAATCTGCTCTCCAAGCGAAGGATGTTGAGCCCAGAAACAAGCAAACCGCCTGAGACATCCCCACAAAATGGCCGCGAACGAGCCCGTGCAAACACCCCTGGCGGCTCCCCTTAGGGGTGCTGAAACCAGCGCCCCGCCTGAGACATCCTCACAATCTGCTCTCCAAGCGAAGGATGTTGAGCCCAGAAACAGGCAAACCGCCTGAGACATCCCCACAAAATGGCCGCGAACGAGCCCGTGCAACACCCCTGGCGGCTCCCCTTAGGGGTGCTGAAACCAGCGCCCCGCCTGAGACATCCTCACAATCTGCTCTCCAAGCGAAGGATGTTGAGCCCAGAAACAAGCAAACCGCCTGAGACATCCCCACAAAATGGCCGCGAACGAGCCCGTGCAAACACCCCTGGCGGCTCCCCTTAGGGGTGCTGAAACCAGCGCCCCGCCTGAGACATCCTCACAATCTGCTCTCCAAGCGAAGGATGTTGAGCCCAGAAACAAGCAAACCGCCTGAGACATCCCCACAAAATGGCCGCGAACGAGCCCGTGCAAACACCCCTGGCGGCTCCCCTTAGGGGTGCTGAAACCAGCGCCCCGCCTGAGACATCCTCACAATCTGCTCTCCAAGCGAAGGATGTTGAGCCCAGAAACAAGCAAACCGCCTGAGACATCCCCACAAAATGGCCGCGAACGAGCCCGTGCAAACACCCCTGGCGGCTCCCCTTAGGGGTGCTGAAACCAGCGCCCCGCCTGAGACATCCTCACAATCTGCTCTCCAAGCGAAGGATGTTAGGCCCAAAAACAAGCAAACCGCCTGAGACATCCCTACAAAATGGCCGCGAACGAGCCCGTGCAAACACCCCTGGCGGCTCCCCTTAGCGGTGCTGAAACCAGCGCCCCGCCTGAGACATCCTCACAATCTGCTCTCCAAGCGAAGGATGTTGAGCCCAGAAACAAGCAAACCGCCTGAGACATCCCCACAAAATGGCAGCGAACGAGCCCGTGCAATCACCCCTGGCGGCTCCCCTTAGGGGTGCTGAAACCAGCGCCCCGCTTGAGACATCCTCCAAATCTGATGTGTGTTGAGTAAGTCTGAGTATGAGTAGGTCTGAGTATGAGTATGCCTGAGTATGAGTAAGTCTGTGTATGAGTAAGTCTGTGTATGAGTAAGTCTGGGTATGAGTAGGTCTGTGTATGAGAAAGTCTGTGTATGTGTACGTCTGGGTATGAGTAAGTCTGAGTATGAGTAATACTGTGTATGAGTAAGTCTGGGTATGAGTAAGTCTGTGTATGAGTACGTCTGGGTGTGAGTAAGTCTGTGTATGAGTAAGTCTGTGTATGAATATGTATGAGTGTGAGTAAGTCTGAGTATGAGTAGGTCTGAGTATGAGTAAGTCTGAGTATGAGTAAGTCTGAGTATGAGTAGGTCTGAGTATGAGGAAAGAGGAGGAGGGGAGGAGGAAAGAGGAGGAGGGAGAGGGAGTAGGAAGCGTCCAAGTAATAACAAGAACCCCATCTTAGGATATGAGGAATTCGGAATATGAGGTGCTTTCTGCGGATGTATCGAACGAGACCGCCCAAATCTACTTTAAGGCCTCCGCCGGCGTCGCCGGCGCGGCATCGCCGCATGAATCTACCGTATGGTCTTGAAGGCCAGCGCGGATTTTCTGGGATCGGCGCTGGACCGGGGCGGCGCGGAGGCGCCACCAGGGGGGCCCAGACCGCGACCAGGCCGTGTGCTCTTCTTCGATCTGGCCAAAGACGCGAGGCCCGAGGCGTGGATAACTATTTTTGCGCCCCCGCGAGAAAGGCTCGGTGCCGTCGCCGAGGACCCTATGTACACCCGGCACAGACGAAGAAGACATGCCATGACCGCAAACTTCTGGCGCTCCGCACGGATCTCCGGGGATCCGCGCTGGACACCCCCTCCCTGGTGCGCGAAGCGCGCCATGGGGCGGCGCCCGAGGCGCCGCCAGGGAGGGGGCCAGCGCGGAGCGCCAACAGTTCATGCTGATGGCGTGCTGTCCTTCGTCGATGGCAGCCGTGGGCAGCACGGGCAGCCGGGCGCGCCACCGCTGGCCAGGCGGCGTCCGCGCCCACGGAGGCTCCTCGGGCCGTGGCGGTGTATTCGTAGAGCAGCGCGTGCCGGTGCTGCACGCCGTGGCGCAGCACTGCAGAGCGAGCTCTGCCGAGGGGGGACGTTCGGGGGGGGACCGCTCGGGGGGAGCAGCGGCGACCTGGGATCGGCTCGAGTCGGGCATGTCCCTCTGCAGGGGTGATATTCAAATATAGTCCAAACAAAATGCTATGAGGACGATGGTCCCCGTATTTTCGACTATGTATGAATGTTTGCGTTATGATTGTTCATTTTTTGTGCAACATCCGCCTGTAGGAAGACACGCACGACCGAACATCGGCGATACATCGCCGATAGATCGGCGACGATGTAGGCCCGCCAGTAGCGAATCCGCACGTGCCTGGAAGGGGTGGGCTACTCGGGGCCCCCATCGGCGGTGAATGGGCGCTTTGGGGGTCGCTGCATCCCTCTCAGAGCCTATCCCAGGGCTGGACCTAAACGCTGTCGTCGTTTTCGTTTTGCTTTTCGTTTTGCTCTACTTGTTTTCCTGTACCTCCCTGCCAAAACGAACAACTAAACACAGCCGAAGTCCAGCACAACTGCGTTGAGGTCCAGCCCGGGCCTATCCCACACCGCTATCGTTGCCCCTGATCTATGTGGACTGCAGCGGCGACGCGAGAGTGTGAGCCACCAGTGCGCTTTCTTCGCTGCCGCCCCCCCCCCGGAAACGTAGCCTCTCCGCCTTCCTGGGGGGGGAAGCGGCGGGAGGGAGGCACCTGGTGCTTACACGTCCTCGGGCCTGCACTTGATAAAAAAAACGCCAGCCTGACGTCGCGACGGCTGATCGGGGCGAGCAACGACAATTCTGGCGCAGGAGCGGAAGCCCAGCCATGGAAAAACAAGGAGACCGCTCTTGCACGCACGGCGCATCTAACACCCTGAGGGAAGCTCGCATGAGTGGGGTTATCCAGACAAGCTGGTCACAGAGCAACAGCAATTGCATAATCATAATTCCTTGGATTCCTTGGAATCCTTGGATTCCTTGGATTGGCGCTTGCCCCCCTCCCTGGCGCGCGAAGTGCGCCAGGGGCGGCGCCCGAGGCGCCGCCAAGGAACTTCAACGCCGACCCAAGGAATCCGCGAGGACCTCCGACAATGATATGTTTATGTCTGCCCCTGCTCCTCGGGCTTATCAGGTGGTTTTGCATAGCCCTGCGCTCAAGGCCTCGGGGCTTGCTCAAAAAAGACGCGGTTCGCCCCTTCAACAGCTGCGGCCACGCGAGGGTGTGGCCGAAACTGTTGGCGGAGGGGTGATCATCGGCACGAGCAGCGGCAGAAACGATAATCGGCACGAACGTGGGCAAGTTCAAGATGTGCGCCGGGAATGCGCAAGCGGATCCTTGAGGAAAGATAAACTGCATAAGAATGAAACTGTCGACGGTCAGCTCGGAATTTTTGGATCTGCGCAGGGCCCCTCTCCCTGGGCCGCTCCGAGCGCCAGGGGCGGCGCCCGAGGGGCCACCAAGGGGGTTCCAACCCAGATCAACGAAATCCCTGCGAACCGTCCAGACAGTTTCTGTTCTACTCCGCTTTTTCTTCAAGAATCAAGGGAGAAGGAGGAGGGAGGAGGAGGGGGAGGAGGAGGTGGAAGCGGAGGAGGAGGAGAAGAAACAGGAGGGGCAGGAGGAGGAAAAAGAAGAGAAGGAGGAGGAGGATGAGGATGAGGAGGAGGAGGAGGAGGAGGAGGAGAAACAGGAGGGGCAGGAGGAGGAGGAGCAGGAGGAGCAGAAGGAGGAGTAGGAGAAGGGGAGGAGCAGGATGAAGAAGAGGAGGTAGAGAAATGCAGACGTATGCTACAGGTTGGTGCCTCGCAGCCTGCCTGAGAACACAAAGGAGGAGGAGGAGGAGGAGGAGGAGGAGGAGGAGGAGGAGCAGGAGGAGGAGCAGGAGGAGGAGGCGCAGGAGGAGGCGGAGGAGGAGGAGGAGGAGGAGGAGGAGGAGGAGCAGGAGGAGCAGGAGGAGAGGAGAGGAGGAGGAGGAGGAGGAGGAGGAGGAGGAGGAGGAGGAGGAGGAGGTGGAGGAGGAGGAAGGAGGAGAAGGAGAGGGAGCAGGAGAAGCAGGAGGAGGAGGAGGAGGAGGAGGAGGCGGAGGAGGAGGAGGAGGAGGAGGAGGAGGAGGAGGAGGAGGAGGAGGAGGAGGAGGAGGAGGAGGAGGAGGAGGAGGAGGAGGCGGAGGAGGAGGAGGAGGAGGAGGAGGAGCAGGAGGAGGCGGAGGAGGAGGCGGAGGAGGAAGAGGTGGAAGAGGAGGAGGAGGAGAGTTGCAGACAGGGCGTGCCCGCCCCTCCCCTCGGAGGCGGCTCGGCCGCGCGCGAGGTCCCCGAGGGGGTGGGAGGCCGCCCGACCGGAGCCGCGCCGTGGCGCTCGCACGGCGTGCCCGGTGGAGGGACATGGGAGGATTGAGCAGGGACGGACCGTCCCGGCTTTCCTATAGTCCTACCACGAAGTGTTCTTGGAACCCAAACATGTTCTAATCATAAAACAGATGTCTTATACCCGATGTGGTAAGACAGGATGTGGTATGACAGGACAGGCGCCGCCAGAAATGTTCTAAGAACATCTCGTGGAAACCACATAAGGTTCTCAGAGCATTGTTCGGTAGGGCTGTAGGCGAGCCATGACGCTTCGCCACTGCTTGAGAGGAGAGGATCTAGAGTTAGGTCGGGCGTGTCCCACAAGATGTGGAGCTTGGAGGGGAAATACAATATAGTTTCGACAACATTCAAAAATGGCAAAATAATTCTTCAAACATCGTCCCCGGACTATTTTTAACTCTTTTGGGAGATTCCTCCTGTAGAAGGACAGGCCCGACTCAAATCTGGAGAACAACAAAAAACGTATAAACATAAACTGTTGATTTCGTGCTCCACGCGGACTTCTTGGATCCGCACCGGACCCCACGCGGAGCGCCAAAAGTTTATGCCTGTGTATATGTTGTTCTTCTTCGGGCCAAGGTGCCCCCAGGATTTCTCAACAGGCCCGCCCCGGCCTCCAGGAGCACCTCCTCACGGCCCGGCAAAGAAGGAAGCGAGCAGCGTGGTAGACCTGGGGCCAGGGGCACCTCCTAGCGACCCGCGTTAAGGAGGAGGCAAAGGAGTCAGAAGGGGGAGGAGGGGGAGGCTCTCCCTTGAGCTTCGACGAGCTCGACAGCTGGTCTAAGAAAAGGTGGAGGCTCCCCCACCCCACCTAGGCCCGTCCAGGAGGACGGATGCCGACAGGTCGTGCCTCCTCCTGTTCTGTGCTGTGCTGGTGGCCTGAGGACCCCACAGACTTTATCACCACTGACAGTGACAAACCTCTCCCTAAGTTTCCGTCGGGCATGTCCCTACAGGCGGATTTTGGAGGACAACATGAAAATAGCCAACAAATCTTCACAAATAGCCAAACATACTCCAAAAATCATCCCCCGACTATGTTTGACTATTTTTGAACGTTCCTTCTGTAGAGGGACAGGCCCGACTTAACCCCGAGTCTGAGGATCCATGCCCAGCGATTTGCTGGCGAGCAGGGCGAACTGAGGCAACAGCAACTCCTTGTCGGCTCAGAGACCCCTCCTTGGGGTCCAGACGCACCCACTTCTCGAGCTGCAAACCGCCGTGACGGCGACGATGGCACCCCCCGAAGGCCAACCGCCGCTGTCTCAACCACCCCTTCCCCTGACCCCCCCCTCTCCTCCTCCTCCCCCTCCTCTTCCTCCCCCTCCCTCATCCCCCCTCCCTCCCCCCTCTCCCTGCACGCGATCGTCAGTCAAACTGGTATTACGCGAGAGGGCATAGCAACCTTACGCCGCGGCGTTGCGCGCTGCACACCGCGTGGCTTCTTGCGGGAAACTCACGTGCAAATGTCGGCGCAATCGACCCCGTTCTTCCGTCGCTCGCGTGTCTAGAGGAAGAAGAAACGGCGTAAACATACACGTTCGGAGGTCCGCGCGGATCTGTCGGATCTGCGCTGAACCCCCCCCCCGTCCCTGGCCCTGGCGTACGGAGCGCGCCAGGAGCGGCGCCAGAAGCGCCGCCAAGAGGGACCAGGCGCAGATCCAAAAGATCCGCGCGGACCGTCGAGAGCCTATGCTCATGCCGTTCTTTGCTCTGAACGTCGGGCCAGTCCACAAAGAAACCTTCCGCGAGAGACCCGAACCTGAGACCCCAGGGCGTCCCTTGATTTTTGGTGTGGGAACGTCGCGCGTTCCACCGCAGAACCATCGAGACCCAGGACACCCTGGAGGCAAGCAGGGTGTTTCTTGGCATGGGTCTCCACTGCAAGATGAGGACGGCAAGGGAAGGGGGGGTCTGCGAGAAGGCACGGAGGCGCGAAGAGAAAGAGAGAGAGAGAGAAACACATTTATAAAAATATATACATAAATATATACACACATGCATATATATATATATATATAGAGAGAGAGAGAAAGCGAGAGAGAGAGAGAGAGAGAGAAAGCGAGAGAACGAGAGCCGGGAGGCCGAGCGGCACCGCGGAGGGCCGGTCCTCACTTCCGCCTCAGGGGCGGGGGCGCGCGCCGCGCAGGGTCGCCGCCGCCCGCGTTCGGCGCCGCCGTGGCAGGAAACGCAGGAGCGACGGTGGTCCACACTCGCCATCGCTCGGACGTCCACTCCCCGTGCAGTTTTCGGCTTCGTGCGTTTATGCTCCCAGAGAAGATTCCAGATGCTCCTCGATGGTCCTCGCCGAGGGAAAATGCACACGTCCGAGCGATGCCAAGAGCGGAGGCCTCCCAGAGGGGGTCGGAGAAGATGGGGTCGGAGGATGACGCCGCATCGAGGATGCATCGACGATGCATCGGCGGTGCGTAGGCGGTGTCAGCGAAGCTTCGGCGACGAATGGAAGAGGGAGGGCGTGAGGGAGGCGGGTGGTGGTCTACCTCTTGTGGGCCCTGTAGAAAGGGCCAATAGAGGCCTCCTAGATGGGGTCCGAATAGATGAGGTCGGAGGCTCACGCCGCATCGGCGATGCATCGCCGACACATCGGCGATGCATCGGCCATGTCGGCGAAGCTTCGGCGAAGCTTCGGCGATGCCGGCGCGGAGAAAATCGTGTTCCACATCGAGCCGCATCGGCGGTGCATCGGCGATGCAACGCGATCCTCCGACCCCATCTGCTCGGACCCCATCTAGGAGGTCTAGAGCCAAACAACAGTTGTCCGAGCCAATGGCACGAATGCCGTACCACGTGATGTGGGGTAGCATCTTGCATAATGCATGTCCCGCCTCCCTCCCCCCCAAACCCAGAATTAGAAAATGTCCACGCGTAAACCGCCGTCAACTGTGGGCTCGGGGGTGAGGGACCTGCTGATCTGATGGATGCACTTCGCCGCATCGTTGTCTTCGCGCGATGGGCGTGGACACGCTTTGTCCACCCTCCGGGGGCGGGATCGAGAATCGAAGAGGGATCGAGGATCGGAGAGAAATCGAGGGCCGAGGAGTGATCGAGAATCGGGGAGGGTCGAGGTGGGGTCGAGGATCGAAGAGGGGCCCCGGATCAAGGATGGAGGCCTGGCTGCTTCTGCGCCGTGGGGGGCTTATGAGCCTCCGTGGGGGGCGCTCGCGTCTTGGCAACAGAATTCGCCTCGCCGTGTCTGGTGAAATGTGTGCCGCTCGCTCCGAGGGACGGCAAGAACACAAAGCAATCATGCTGGCCATGAGTCGTGAGACAAGCCACAAACCCAGTGCGTCAACGCAGTAGCAGGAACGGTGACGTGAGTGGCAATATCACCACCCCTCTGATCGTAGAGCGCTGGATTGGGGTGAACGCGAGTGGTTATAGCCTCCAATCTGGCCCAATATGACTACTAGGTGGCCCCAAATATCCACAATTGTCATCGAAAATTGCACTGGATAGTCCAAGACAACTCAAGATGTTCTCCTCCATGCCTCCAAGAGGCCACAAATCAGACCCAAAGTCGCCACCGAACCTCCCAAACATACCCCCCCGAGCGGCCCCAGTCGCTCAACAACAGAAGGTTTCGATTGGTTTGACCTTGGCGCTGTTCCGATTCCGAAGGTCTTTGAGGCCTCAAGATGGCTACAATATCACCAATGAGAGGCCCTCGAAGGACACATGAAGGCTCCACGATGGACCCAAGAGCGCCTCGAGACCGTCCCAAAATCCGAGTGATCGTGCTTCGGCGGGATAATGCTGATTCAGGCACCCAAGAGGGACCAAAGAGAGCCCCAACAGCGCATCAAATGCTCCCAAAAGGGCCCAAGCAGAACTCCAAGATGGCCCCACCATACTCCAAAACGCACTCAGAGGTGGGTTTACTAATGCTTGTGGTTATCTACGTCCCTCCTCCCGACAGCTCCCCTGGGCTTGTTTCTGGATGGGCTGTAGGGAACAAGCGAAGCATCAAGAAGTGCTACGAAGGCAGTTGTCACAAGAGACAAAACGCTTCAAACCAAAACGGTCTTTGGGGGCATCTGAGCGAAAGCAATAATGAGCAAAGGAGACACTAGTCTGACCAATCTAGACCAACTCTCTGGCGCAATCTTGAGCAATCGCTTGCCCGCCTCGTGCGTGAAGTCTCTTGCAGGCCCAGTGGCTGAAGAGACGCGACAGACAAGGGGGCGACGCTAACGCGACTCCCCACATCCGACGCCGCGACCATTCTGTGCCGAGGGCCCCCAGACCTCTTGACCCACTAACCCTGGGGCTGGTGCTTCGTCCCGAGCCCCGAGTCGTGTTTTGACGGTCCCCCGGCGCGGAAAAAATCGGCACGGGACGAGTTGAGGCCACGGCAGCTCAAAATCGGCCGAGGGCGAGTCGAGATGCTGGCGAGTTGAGTTGAGACGAGGGCAGGTTGAGACGTCGGCCCCCTCCTGGGGTCAGTGGGGGGGCCCTGGGACACACAAATAAATACACACCAATAACAGGATTCCTTATATTTTCCTATATTTTCTTGGGTGTTGCCTTCACCCCCACTTCCCATAGTATTTTCTGGAGAATCGACGATTCTCTGTGTGATTTTCTGCTCCCTCCCAGGGTCAGCCCACCAGCTTCCCAACCTGCGACAGGGAAAGATTGCAGACGACACCCGAGAGAGGACACGAGAGTCGACTCCGAGGGCAACCCGTGCTCTGGACCTGAAGGGACATGCAGAACGAGGGACAGGGAAGGAGGATGTGCACCCGTCTGGCGGAAGCAGCAGGTGCAAACATGAAGTGGGAGGGCGGATGAAGTGTATCGGGCCAAGGAACGAAGCAAAGCGAAAAGCGGAAGAATAGGAAGAACACATATCGCGTTTTGAAGTAAGAAGGCACAACACATAATACCCACTCTCAACGACCGACGTGCACCCTGGACGTTGCAAGCGCAAGCTATTCCGAGTTCCTTAATAAGCAAAAAAGACACGAGAGTGTGTACCCGTCTGTCGGGAGCAGTCCGTAAAACAGCAGGAATCACAGAGCACAGCAGCAAAAGCGCATCGCTTCTTGAAGTCGGGAGGCCCTTGAGGTAGATTGGGATCCGGGCGCTCCAAAAATACACAGACTTTCAACGACCGACGTGCACCTTCGACGTTGTCAACGCAAGCTATTATTCCCACTGACTTCCTTGGACGGCAGGTGAGCCCAGGATCGATAAGTCGGATCGGCGATCGAAATGAGTCGGATAGGCGGAAATCGGCAGCCGAGTCGGGAAAAATCGAATCGTCGGAAATCGGCAACCTAGTAGGCCTCCGTTGACTAATCGGAACCCAAATCGGAATCCGGAGTCGCAACGAATCGGAATCGGAAGCCACCGAAATCGAATCGACTCCAATCGAATCGGAAGAATCGAAATGAGCCCCGGGACGGCGCCGACCGTCCACCAGACCCGCTCGACGCGCACCGCCGCTCGTGCGCGCACGCCTGGAGAGGGTCCGTCGGAATGGCCCCGTATACGGCCGGCGCCGTCCAAACTTCGGGAGGCGTGTACACCGCCGACCGTCTTGGTCTCTTCGTGGCAGAGGTCTGTGAAACGGCCCAGGGGCACACAAATAAACACACAGATCCCAGCAGTCTCCACATTTTCCCATAGTTTCTGGGTGTAAGCATCTGTGCCGATTGGTGCCCTCGTGGCGTCTTGGGAAAACAGGCGGGTTGGCAGCCCGATCATCAACACAGCTCGACTGGGCTGTGGGAGAGACTCTTGCCCTGTGGTTTGCCAACCACATTAGGTACGGGCCCGCCGTGCCACCCCTGAGAGACCCGATGGGGTTACTCGAAGGAATCCCCCGACGGGGGGGCGCGGGAACTGAAGTCCTCGGGCAGTGGGGTCTCCGCTGCTTGAGGCCAGCGGCCAAGTGGGGGTGGTGCCGGTGGCCGTGCCTCGGGGTGGCATCTCGAGGCACCCCGCAATGGCGGCGCAGATGTGACGCCTGGGGCGTGTCTGTGCTGCCACTCATGTTGCGAGGTCCGACTGCATGTGAATTCATGCAGGCACCTTGGGCACCTCCCTTCGGGTTGTGTCGCCCAGGTGTTCTGTCCGGGCACCACACTTTCTGGGTGTTCCTCTTCCCCCACCCACTTTCCATATCTTCCCCCATATTTTCCTGGAAGCCGAGGCTTACGTGTGCCTGTGTGTCTTTCCCCCTTCCGAGTCTTGGCCTCTTCGCGACGAGGCCTGGCACTGCCCGCGAAGGAGCCCCGGCGCGAGCAGGCGCGGCGTCTCGGGAGGGGCCCGCGCGCCTGAACGTGCGGCCCCACGACGTCTGCCGGCCCGCCTGCGGGCGCGCTGCCGCATCGCTAGCGGCGCCCACGAGGGGGCAGGGCTCGAACGCCCAGGGTTCGCTGGGGGCTGGTTTCCCCCCAGAAACGACGAAAGCCCAGACCCTATGAGAAGCCTCTTGGGAACCCTTCCCGGAGGGTTTTTTGGGAGCCTGTCGGCTGTTTTGAGAGGAAGCCAGTCCCTGGCAAACACTAAGCTTTCTGAGGGTAGGGGGAGGGGGGAAGGCTTCTCAGAAGGAGGTGGCTTCTTAGGAGGCGCTGGTCCTGAATCTACAAACAAAGGCCCACGCCTTCCAAGAGGCAGGGTGCTTTCCACCAGTCCCCTACCACCTTGTGCGCGTGGCCGATGAAGGGGCGGGGGAAGGGGGCGAGGCCCGAAAGGAGGCCACCGGCGTGGCCCGGGCCCCCCTGGCCGATTCGACCTCCTAGATGGGGATATAGGCCGTTCTCGTCGGGTCTCGAGAGGCGTATCCGCAAATGGAGCGGTGGGATTGGAGGAGTCGGGATGGGGATGAGGATAGGGATCGGTTAGCGATATTGACTCGAGAATGCCAGGAGTCAGGCAAAAATAGAACGCTTAGATCTCGGGGCGCAAGCGTTTCCGCCGTGCTCGGCGTCGTCGACAGTCCCAGCTCTCGGGCCCCGGGCCACTCAGAACACAAGTCCAGATGGAGGAGCGGGGCCCAGGGCGGTGATCGAACGGGTCTGCGGGCTGGGGGCTCGCAGAACACGAGGTATGTCCTGGAGATTATCCTCATTATGTCCAGAAGCGGTCCGCGACTCGGGGGGAGGTGAGATCTCAAAAAAAGAACGGCCCCTTGACGGTACATGTCTGCACAACCTTGCCTTCTTCGAGAAATGTCATCATGCGAAACAGCTGTGGACGCCCGAAACGGGTACGGAGGAAATGGGTACGATACCCAAGAGCACACGTTGTCCAGGAGGCTACAGCGGCCGCTGTTGGGCAGGATGGCCTCCGTCTCAAATGGACAACGGCCGCGGCCTCGCCAACAGCAAATCCTATTCAGATTAAACAAAAGCTGCTGCTGGACTTTGCACCCACTGCTTCCGTACCCATTTCGATCGCCCCGAGCAGTGAGAGCATCGCGATCAGAACTCTCGGGCCAACCCACCTCCTGCGGGCGGGGGGGGGGCCCGAAGAGAGGCAGCTACCGCCAGCCTCTTGCTCACGACGCCCGGGAGGTGGGAGCCCCTCAGAACGGGGGAATCAGGCCCCGGAAAAAATCACAAGACAGCTCGCCGCTTGGGCCCCACCGCAAGTCCAAACGGCGAGCATAAATCGGTCGTAGCCCCGCACGCCTTCGAATGCCCACTCTTCGTCCTCGTACTACTCGCATTCCTTCCCGTCCTCCTCCCTATCCTGATCGTCGTCGTCATCCTCCTCCTCGTCCTCCTCCTCATCATCGTCATAATCCTCGTCTTCCTCCTGCTCCAGCTCCTCCTCGTCGCATTCGTCTAGGACCCCGTCCACGTTTCTCCTTTTCCTCCTCCAGCTCATCCTCCTCCTCCTGGCACCTCGGCGGCCGAGAATACAACCGTCTCCTATCGGTTGCCCCGTCGGTTGCGCCCTCGGCGGCCGAGAATAAAACCGTCTCCCATCGGTTGCGCCATAAGTTGCGCCCTCGGCGGCCGAGAATAAAACCAACTCCGATCGGTTGCGCCATCAGATGCGCCCTCGGCGGCTGAAAATAAAAACGTCTCCGATCGGTTGCGCCACAAGTTGCGCCCTCAGCGGCCGAGAACGAAACCGTCTCCGATCGGTTGCGTCGTAAGTTGCGCCCTCGGTGGCCGAGAATAAGACAGTCGCGTAACGAGTGCGAACAGTCAGTTCAGTTCAGTTCAGCTCAGCTCAGATATGTCAGCTTACCTCGCGAGAAACAAATTCGGGCTACGCCCGAAAATAGCGAACACTCATGCCACATTCATCTGTCAACGCCTCCCCCTCCCCCCCACAATTTTCAAAAATGGCGGTGGGTTTGATGAGCTGCACTTCGACAGCAGTCTCCTCTGCGCGTGCCAACTTTAGATTTTTGGTGGGGAGGGGGGCGTTCGGTCATTGTTTCCCTCAACCGCATGTCGACCCCAATCCTCGACTTTGGTGAGTTCTCAACTGGTCCAGAAATTGTGGAGCCAACCCTGAAATATACGATAGAGGGGGGCGTCCATCCTCAGTGAGGGTGCGTCCGAAGAGCCCCTCTGGGGGTGTATCCCAGCGCTTCCCCCCCGTTTCCGAGCGGCCGAACTTGACGGGCGAAGCTCGGAGTTCGGGGGAGGCAGACCGCCCACGACCCCACTCCAGAAGCTCGGCCCGTTCCTGTCCACCGACGGACATGCACTGGGCAGCTCGGTCCCTGCACTTCGGCCTGGGGCGGAAGCCGAGCAACGGCGGAAGAGGGAAGAACGCCACAAACAGACAGACTTTTGGCGCTCCGCGCGGATTCCTTGGATCCGCGCTGGACCCCCCTCCACGGCGCGCGGAGCGCGCCGGGTGCGGCGCCGGAGGAGCCGCCAGGAGGGCCCAGGCGCCGATCCAAGACATGCGCGAGGAGCGCCAACAAATGTTCCTGTTTTTGTGCCGTTCTGGCACGGGGCTCGTTGGAGGAGGAGGAGGAGGAGAAGAGGAGGAGGAGGAGGAGGAGGAGGAGGGAGAGCAGGAGGAGGAAGAGGAGGAGGAGGAGGAGGAGGAGGAGGAGGAGGAGGAGATGAGGAGGGAAGGAGGAGGAGGAGGAGGGAGAGGGGAGGAGGAGGAGGACGAGGGGGAGGAGGAGGAGCAGAAGGAGGAGGACGAGGAGGAGGAGGAAGAGGACGAGGGGGAGGAGGAGGAGGAGCATGAGGTGGACGAGGGGGAGGAGGAGAAGAGGAGGAGGACGAGGAGCAAGAGGAGGAGGACGAGGAGGCGGAGGCTCGGTGGGGGAGTCGTCCGCCTGGGTCGTCGGCATGGGGAGGAGCCGATTCTCCCAAAAGCCGGCCCCTCCGGCTGTGCCAGCTGACCCCCCTGGCGGGGGGGGGGGGGGCTTGCCTCCCGGGAGGCGCTCTCTGGCGCTCTGCCTGGGCCCAGAGAAGGGCGGGAACTGCGAAGGATCTGCGGCGCGATCCTGTTCTTCGGAGACGCAAGTGCTCAACCTCCTCCTCCTCCCCCTCCTTCTGCTCCTCCTCCTGCTCCTCCTCCTCCGCCTCAGAATCCTCCTCCTGCTCCTCTTCCTCCTCCTCCTCCTCCTCCTCCTCCTCCTCCACGATATTCTCTTTATTCCCTCGTCCTGCTCCTCATAATCGAGCCCCAAACCTCTCTGGCGGTGCTTCTCGACCAGAAGCTCGTGGCGAACCCCGTTACGGCGACGAGAAGCTCCAAGAGGCCAACAAATATGCAAAAGACTTTGAGTGACACCGATCCTGGATGTCGGAAAACCTCCTGCACGATGGTTTTACCCCGGTTTTCAGTCGCCATCGTCGTCGCGGCATCATCTTCGGCGTCGTCGACGACGGCGGCGTCCTCCGTCGTCCTCTTCGGCGGCGCTGGCGTCGTCGGCCACGGCGTCGTCGCCCATGAGGCAGACCCTGGGCCTGGGCCCATACATCCGACGATGTCATTTGTTCAACGTCACGTCCCGAGAGGTCCTGGCCCCTTCCCAAGGAGAACTCTTCGTCCCAAATCCACTTTCGATGGCTACGGGCCCTGAGGACGAGATCGAGGACAACCGCCGGGAGCAAAACCAAAAACAGAAGATCGAACGCATGCTGATATGGATTACGGATCCGTGGATCTGGGGTCGGAGCCGGGGTTACACATGGATCCACGGGGTCGGGGTCGAGGCCGGATCCACGGATCGCCGATCTGTGCATCCACGGATTACCGTTCCGGGATCGGGATTACACATGGAGCTCACCGATTGTGCACGGAAGCAAGACCCGTCTATGTGGAAGCGACAGGGCGGGCAGCTTTTGGTTCCGGTTCCGTTTGGCATGGTGTTTAATATGGTGGCGTTTTTTGTTGCGCTTCCGTCGCCTTCGGTTTTGGTCCCAATCCCCGCATTGTGCGTCTTCTGGTCTATTTGCACGACCGATGTTTCAAACATTCGTCTCCCAAACCAGGCACACATTCTTGAAAAGGCCAAACATGGGGTTGCCGTTTCCAGGGCCTACTTACGAAGGGCCCGTCACTAATATACACGCCGTACCCAGATCATTGGATTCGAAACAAGTTCGGTCGCGATCGGTTGCGACCGATCGGCACTCCAAATCGGTCTCGACCGATGGGACCGATTCCCAAATCGGTCGCAATCGGTCGCGACCGATCGCGACCGATCAGTCGCGATCGACTTTGAATGAAGCAAGATCGGGAACGCCCGATCTCGTGGGTCATTACTGGAAAACTCCAACATGCAATGATAAAGACCTCCCAAGCTTGGTCCGAATTGCTGGGGTCGGAAAATCGCGCCGCATCGTCGACACATCACCGATGCATCCGCGATGCACCAGCGATGCACCGGCGATGTTGGTGGTGCATCGGAGTCGCAGGAGTAGGGACAATCGGACTCCTCATCGAACCGCATTGTCGATGTATCGGCGATGCGGCGCTATGCTCCGACCCCATCTACTTCGACCCTATCTGGGAGGCCTCGAACGACGGACCCAGACCAGTCACTAATCGACGCGCAATGGATGGCACACACGTAAGCTTTTGAAGGTCCGCGCCGATGTCTTGGAACCGCACTGGATACCCCTCCCTGGCGCGCGGAGCCTGGCGCCAGAGGCACCTCCAGAGGGACTAAACGCAGTTCCAAGAAGTCCGCGCGGAGCTCTGAGTGCTGGTGTTTATAGTCAAAACTGATAGTAAGGGTGCGCGGCAAGGATGCAAGTGCCTTGGAAGGCCATGCCCGCCGCACTTTTCGAGCGGGCCGCGGCTAACGGAAGGGTACAAGGATGGGCCGAAGGGAAGGATGCAGGGGTATTGGAAAGTCGCGCATGCTTACTACCAGTCTTGACTGTATGCATGTTTTGGCTCATGTCCTCATGTCAGCGTCTTAACTGTAGTCCGCGTTCACGCTCCGCCCGCGATCGGCCAGAGGAGGAGGAGGAGAAGAAGGAGGGGCAGGAGGAGGAGGAGGACAAGGGGAGGAGGAGGAGAACGAGGGGGAGGGGGAGGAGGAGGATCAGGAGGAGGAGGGGAGGAGGAGGGAAAGGAGGAGGAGGAGGAGGGAGGAGGCGGAGGAGGAGGAGGAGGACGAGGGGGAGGAGGAGGAGAACGAGGGGGAGGGGGAGGAGGAGGATCAGGAGGAGGAGGAGGAGGGAAAGGAGGAGGAGGAGGAAAAGGAGGAGGAGGAGGAGGAGGAGGAGGAGGCCGCGGCGCGACCTGGATGGCCGCCGCCATCGGCCGACGCCGCCCGCCCCCCGTTGCCGCCAACCCCGCCGCTGGGAGGCGAGGCGGCGGGCGCCCCGGGGGGCGGCGCGGCCGCCTCGAGGCTCTTGAGGAGGAAGTGCAGCTGGCCGCCCTGCCCCAGCGGGGGAGGGCGCACGGCGACGCCGAGCGGCCGGGGGGGGGGCGGAGGAGGGTTCGAGCTACCTCGTAGTTATAGTGTGTGCTGGCGTCCCTCCTCTCAAGGGTGCCGCGGACGGGGTCGCTCCCGCCCTTCTATGGGCCACTGTTCTGTGCTTGTCTCACTGCTGCTCTTTTTGTGCCCCCGTCCGCGGCAGCATTCGTTTGCCACCTCGCCTAAGTCGGCGATCGTTTTTCGCTGCACCATGCCAGCACGCAACAGGTTAACTCCAATGTTCGAGCAACGGCAACAAAAATTATGTGAGTGGGATTCGAGCGGCCTGATCTCTGGGCAGGAAGCACACTCCCCACCACCAACGGGGACCCTTGGCCCCGCTGGTTAACCTGTTCCCCCTGGGTGGGGATGGGGATCCTCCGACATGTTATGCTCTTGTCTGTTTCTGATCATCGAACACAGCCCCCCCGAAGATGCAGAATAATGTTGGCAATGCTTGTGTCCGTATCAACTGAGTCTTAGCATTTGGGGCTCCCGTCCCCAGAAACCAAGGGAGGCGAAGTGGATATGAATGAAGATCTGGCCCATAGGGGGTATATGTTTATCAATACGTACGTACTGCGCGTTCGCCTTTTTGGCGCTTTGCCCAGAAATCTCAAGATGTAGGTGATGGATATAAGCCTTTCCCGCAACTATGATATCCTAACCAGAAGGTGCCAATACAGCTACTCCCCAGATCTCGCCTTGTGCGTCCTGAAAAGAAGTTCGAGGGGAATCCGGCGGTTGCGACGGGGGCCTCCATGGAGGCTCCAGAAACAGGAAAGCAATGTGAGTGTAGCGGTATGGGTAGCTTGAAAATAATAAAGGGCAGCGATAGGGGGCGAGTGGGACTGGCATAAGGGGGAAACATCGACCTGGAATCGGCGATACGTCACCGATAGATCGGCGATGGGCCCCCGATAGTTAATCCGCACGTTCCTGGGCAGGCTGGGGCTACTGGGCTCCTGACTCGGTGATCAGTGGGCGAGGGGGGGTCGATGCGCCACCCCCTGTGCCTACAGCAGGGGCCGCCCGACCACAAGAAACCTTGAAGGGTGTATCCCCAACTGAATTTGGTTGGGGGTCTCGAAGGGAATGGTGATGGGGATGGGGATTGGTTTAACGATACTCGGGGGCGCGCAAACATGGATTAGCGATCCATGGATTTTGCGCGCGGTCGCCAAATCCATAGATCGGCAGATGTGCCCTTCCCCAAATGCGGCCGGCGCCGCCTCGTTCGGCGGCGGAAATCCGCGATCTCCCATGGAAACGGGACCCGTCGCTAATCCACGCCCCAATTGATCCATGTTTGCGATCGCCTGAAATACTGAGCATGGGACTCCACTGCATCCCTCCCCCCTGTCGTTGCCCCCTGGGAGGTCTTCGTCGGAAGGACTGAGAGGGATTAAGCGCCATTAAAGGCTGTTATGCCGGAGTGGGCCTCGGATTAAGCGGGACTAAGCGGGATTATGCGGGATTAAGCGGTATTAAGCGGGATTAAGGTCACTCCGGCGAAAGGATACCGTATTTTTTGAATCGGCGATGAGCCAGGTTATCCCCGGGGGGGAGGGGTCCCGCCGATACCCTAACCCTCGCGCTGTGGCTGTGGGCAGCCCTGCATATGCCCGCGCCCCCCCGCCCGCGGACCTGCACAACCGGCAAGGTTAGGTTATTATGTTATCCTTCGGGAGCGGCCAAGAGGGGGATGTCCAAGAGGGGGGGGTGCAAATCATGACCGGCGGCATGTGCGCGGCCCAGCGGGGGGGCCAGGGACGTAATGAAATAAGAAGAGGCGCCATGAAATCTGGGCAAATATCATGGCCCCCGCCATGATATCCAACCCCCCCTAGTCATCACCCCCCTCTTTTCCGCCCCCGAATCCTGGGGGGCAGGGGAGGGGGGGGGGATAAGGCCGATAACCCAGGTTGTCGCCCGACCTGGTTCTGGGGCACTCGTTTCTGGTCATTCGGCCGCCCTCTCGCGCGTGCCGCTCTGGGAGCGTGCCGCGCGGTGGGCACCCCGCGGGCGTGCCGAGGGGCGGCAGGCCCCTCCCCGAGCAAGCGGGGCGGGGGGCTGCGCGCCGAGGTCGCGCGCGGGGAGCTGGAGGTTTCAAGGTCACGCTTACGTTCAAGTCGGGCCTGTCCCCCGACAGCGGGATTTTCCACGGAACAAAAAAACATGTTTCGCACCCCGCAATTGCGGATAAGAGTGAGGGGGCGGGCGCGGGCGACGCGGCGCGGGCGACACGGGCATCGTCGAGCCGGCGGACCTCGTGGCCCCCACCTTCCATGTCGATGGCGCTCTCCTCCTCCTCCTCCTCCTCCTCCTCCTCCTCCTCCTCCTCCTCCTCCTCCTCCTCGTCCTCATCGTCATCGTCATCCTCCTCCTCCACCTCGTCCTCCTCCTCCTCTTCTTCCTCGTCCTCCCTCTCCCCCCCTCGTCCTTTCATCATCGTCCTCCCATTGTCGTCCTCCCCCTCATCGGCCTCCATCATCGTCCTCCCATTGTCGTCCATCATCATCATCCTCCCCCTCCTCCCCCTCCTCGTCCTCCTCCTCCCCCTCCTCCCCCTCCTCCCCCTCCTCGTCCTCCTGCTCCTCCTCCTTTTCTTTCTCCACATTCTCCTTACATCCTCTCTTCTTCCGCGTTCTCCTCGTCCCCTGTTTACTCCTCCTGCCTCCCCCTCCTTTCCCAAGATAACTGCAACGCAATCCTTTTTTCCA